CCAACGCACTCAGGAAAACAGGACAACCGTCTGGTTGCGGCACATACAGCTGATTTCTGGGTTCAACATGAACACGTATCACAGTGTTGCCACCGCTGGAAAGCCAAAAGTCTTCTTGTGAGTCCAACTGTCGCAAGGAATCTGGTCTTGTCGAACTTGAAAAGGTTTTGTGTTGTGGGCATTGTTCAGCACTGGGTGAGGTTGTTCGTTTGTTTGACATCAAGTTGGGATCCTCATTGGTACATGCTAAAACGTACACTTTTGACCTAACACTTGGCCATGACTCGGGTTGTTCATTGGCTGGCGTCTGCACGCATGGCATTTTCAGACTGGAAATCGTTTGTGTGCACACTACATGCATCAGCTGGCGCAAAGCATGTTCGAACCTCATTGCGCTCTGGGAACCTAGCTCTTTTGCATGCACATGTTGAATACCACTGCATGTACAAATGTCACCATTGGGCACTTGAAAGTTAGTAAGCAGCTTCAGCTTCGAGCAACAAGGCAGGTCATGTCCATGTCTAAGGCGTTCATAGTTACACCATTGATGCAAGGAGGAGTGCAACAATGGGGCACACTGCTTTACAACTATCCAAACCTGACTTCTTTCACTGGCCTCAATTACAACTGGAAGACCGTTTTGGCATTGCTGTCGAACAAGACAAAACAGGTGCTCGGCTCGGAGGGCATCATGTTTATTTCCGGCTCCGGCACATGGACCTGCAAAACGTATCCAAAGTAAAAATGGCCCCTGGTGCTCAAGTTGGGACGGGATGTCCTGGCACTGAGATCTACTATGCAAGTCATGGTGGAAATGCATCGTCTTGAGGCCCTTGAGGCCATACTCTTGCAGAAGACGGTGACGCAGCCCGGCCTTATCCGAAAAGACCCAAGCCAAAATATCAGTGCAAAGCTGCGATGGAATTGCCTTCATCATTAGTTCGGATCCTTCTGGATTGCACATATTGGTTTCGAAACTATGATGTTTCGCATTGGCAGGTGAGCCAGTTTCAGCATTCACACTGCCGGCTTTCGGCAAACTTCAGTTAGACTGCGTCCCATCGCGCTCTTTGAGCGCTTTGGAGCAGACTTGGCACGGCTCTGGCGGCATGGCATGTTGAACTACAGGTTCTGCTCAGTCTGCATGGCATCATGGCTTCTGGCATGCAACGGCAAATCCAATGGCCACTGTTGGAAAGCTCCAGCTCGTAAACATGGCTTCCAGGGTTCATCTTCACTTCGATACCGCCAGGGCCTGGAATAATCATCTTCCCGGAACCACAGTCGAGGATCACCTGCATCTTTCTCAGGGCTTTGTTGCCCAAGAGTGGCGGAAGCATGCTGTCTACATCACCAAGTGCGCTGCGAACTGACATGCTGACACAAGCTGATTTGTTGGCAATCTGGGCTGTTTTGCCAACTCCTTAAACTGGCAACGGCTTGTCAAGGGAGCGATATTCCAACTCAGTGCTCAGCTCTTGGCACATCTGCTGAGCAGTCAGTTCACCGATCAAATTGTCATGTGCACCAGGGTCTACCAACAGTCCAACAGCACCAGAACGCAAGCGCGGTCGGAGGTGGTATGAGCTTTCAGTCATTGACCTCTGCTAATCATCATCTTTGGCCGAATCCACTTCCCACCATTGGTATGATCCACCGCCTGGAGGCCCAGACATGAACTGCCAAAAGCATTTGGAGGTACAAACCCCATCTTTGGAAGTGCGGGACCCATGTTCCTGCCAGGAACGCCAAATTCGAGTGGTTGGGATGGCATCATCATGATGCGGTTCATGGGTTGTGCTGTTTCAGCCAACTGGGCTTCAAGGCTCAACACCTGACGGGGCACTCCAGGAACAGCGGCATTTGAAATTGTGTCGCGTCTGCCTGAAACCTGATCAAAACCCATCATCAACTGGTGCAAACCTTGAACAGACTCCTGCCTGACCTCTCGTTGTTCCTCACGGCTCATTCGGACAGGCCGTCCGGCAGGCGAAGGGTCATCAATTGGCACATCCTGACATGTCTGTCTTTGGCATGTCGGCATTGTCGGCTGCAGTGGAACCTGAAACTCCAAGACGGCTTGAAGTTATCTTCGACGGTCGTGTTGGTGGCGGTGACTGCGGATCACTGGCACCTTCAATCAACCTTTCAACCTCAGGACTGGGAAAAACTACCGGATGCTTCACTGACGGATGCAACATCGGATGCTTGGCCGGATGCAACCCCTGGTGAATGGCCAGATGCAACGCCGGATGCACTTGGAAAAATCCCGGGCTAAACTTCGGAACGGCTTTGCTGGGATTGTCAGGCGCGGTCGCCTCAGCATGTTCGGATGACCTTTTTCGGCTGGACGCCGAAACCACACTACCAGCGTCAGAGATGCTGCGAAGCTGCTCCATCCCGGTGCAAAAGAAGTGAACACCTGGAAGCGAGGCATTGGCTGAGTTACCCCACATCAAGGATTGGTTCGCTGGCATCAAAGCTAGCTGTTGTTGTGGCTGTGGTGTGTTCATTAGGGCACGAGCATGTGCGGACGGAACGGACGCACTACCAGTGGCAAAAGAACCACCTTGCTGTGGACGTTTTAGGCATTTGCGCCACAGGTGTTCATCTGACTGGCATGCATTGCTACGCATCACTTGACCGTATTTGTCTTTAGGGTTCTTCTTGCGGAAACAGCCCTTTTGATAGGGACCACCTTTTGCCCCCTGCAAAAGCCTGTGGTGGCAGGAAAGAGGCATATGAAGGCTTTCCACCCCTGGCACCTTTTCCAAGCCTACAATAGCTTGTTGGAAACTTGCAGGAAATACGACGCCACTTCTTTCTGGCGAAGGCATACTCTTGGTAGGCTTCACTGGGGTCCACGTTGGAACCTGCAGGCATGGAACTACCATCATCGGAACTGGCATCTGTACTGAAAGCATCATCTTGGTAGTACATTCCACATGTTGGACATGGGGCATTGTTGCTGGCATTGGCATGAAAACTTGGGTTTTGATTCCATGCGTCCCACGGTCCAGCACCGCCCTGATTGGTCAGTGATCCAACATACGCATGATGTGGAAAACTTGCATCCCTCCATGGGTCAGGTGGATTTGGATCCCCAGTCATGAAAGCATTGGTTGGTTCTGCAGTTGTTTCAAAATTTGGAAAATATTATCTATCAGCAAAGGAATTGCCAGAATCATCCATTGCACCTCTTGTTGACCTGTGCCCTGCATTCTACCTTCACGCAAGTGAAACGACCTACGAACACACTCCATCAACTCTCCCACCTGCAACTCATTTTGAGGCATCATTCCCCCGGTTGGGGCCAGCAGTCTGTCCCACATCTCAGCATTCAATCCCAAGGAGTGCAACAACAAGAACCATGAAAGGCCCGTCCAATTCACTCCAAAGCCTGCTCCAGCTTGAGCACGATTGCGCAAAATGTCAGACCGGACCAAAACAGAGTCTATCGTTTCACCTGGGAGTCGCTTGAAGGAAAAGAACTCACTGATTGATTTTGTGGTGTTCTCAGCCTCAAGTGGGGCATATCGTCTTGCAAGCAATTTGACAAGTAACATCAAACCAGTGTAGTGTTGTCCCGTCTGGGGATCAATGTCACCTTGCTGCAACTGCTGTGGAGTGAGCTCTCGGACAAGCTCCTTCGCAGTGCCTTGACCTTGCAGTGCTGCCACAGGACCATGACGAATTGGGTCCAAATCCGAAGCTGAGGCCCACAATATCAAATCAGAGATCCAGGGCCTAAGGCCTAAGGGAATAAACATGATTCCTCTCTATGCACCATGATGGAGGCACCATGATGGAGGCACCTTCAGTGTCGCGGTCCCCACAAAGGGAAGACCAGCATCGCTTTGATGGACGTTTGTCCACATTCCATGTTGGGAAGGATGAGGTGGCCTGAATGGGCCTTGCATCATGCAAGGCAGCAACATGTACATCACTGCAGAAACACATGTCATCATCATTGCAAAAACATGCATCTTGGAATGTCGACCTAAAGGATGAAAACTGCTATCAGCAAGCTTATGCAACCAGTTAACAACGTCCTGCTCCTTGTGGATTGCGTCGTCAACACTCGACTGTTGCAGCTGTCTGCTGTTGTTGTCACCCAAATCGACACCTGCTGTAAGCAATGCAATGTTGGAAAAACCAACTGCTCTCATCCGTGTCCGGTGAAATTCGTCTGTCACCGCGTCTCGAATCCGGCTGCAGAAAATTCTTGTTCGTTCACCACTGCAAAAGCCATGCTGCCATCTGAATCAATTGTCACATCAACCGTCAGAGACATTCGAAAACCTGCTGTCGTCTGCATATTGGGCTCATAGCTATTGCTCCAAGTCAGAGTCTGCTCAACCTGTGGGTTTGTGGTACTCATAGTCAACCACTGCAAGGGAACGTCATCGACGTCAGTAGGCATGCTTGTCACATCGAGGTCAGTAAATGAATACTCCAACAACGTAAGCACGCCTCCAAGAATGATCACAGCACCAAGCAGGCTTCGACAGATCTAGCAGACCCCAACTTGGCAGCATCGCCGCAAAGCGTCCATGCGCTCCGCTACCAAGTTGGGATCTGCCCTGTAGGAACTTGCCCTAAATATCGAGGATCTTCCAAGAACAACATTTCTCTCACCGGCTGCCCTTCCCTTTCCAGTCGCACTGGCTCTCATGTTGAGAGCAGCTCCATGCACAGCGAAAAAAGTAAAACAAACAGTCGTGTCAAAGGGGAATGCAACTCGAGTCTGAAGAAAGGCAACGGCGGTCACTCATGCTGTTGTTCAGTCAGGGCTCAGACCACCGGCTGAAAGTTATGGCATATATGGCTATGTACGGGAATGTGTAGGGCGCACCCCTCTCGACTTGACATACATTTCAGCCTTATAAGTCCTTATAGCATCTTATAACATACATTTACGCAATGCAGGATGCAGAGCAACATGTAAGTGCGGTAATATGCCACTTCTGAGAGACTTTCCACTGATGCTTCTGAGCCACGGCCATTGCAAGAGTTTCGTGTGGTCTACAGCTGGCTGCCAATGTATTTCTGAAGAAAAAATCTGGAAGCAAGAAAGTCCTGTCAGAAGTTGAACACATGTTCAAACAGATGTAAGGCACACTTGACTTGACTTTGAATGTGATGAGCATGTTATGAGCAGCATGAGTTTTGCTTCAGCGCTGTCGCTTGATCGCTATTGTGTTTCTTGATCTGATGGCGTCCAGCAAAGTGGAGCTGCGAAAGCCCTGAAGCCATATGAAACAAATGCAACATTTTTTGTGGTCCAGGAGCTGCCGGGAACTGCTAAAAAAGCCACAGCATGTAAGCTAAACATATTTCAGCGATGGCTGCCTAGATATGCCTGCATTTACAAAAATCATCATAAATCATACTCCTTCCAATCAAAAAAAAAGGGGATAGCATGGGCCTTTATCATTGCTCTCTTTGCTCACAGTCTCTTTTCATTTGGCACCCGCGCTGTTCCATTTCTCTCCACATGGCGCGCGCGAAAGCTCAAACGATCAGGTCAGTCCAGCAAGAAGTTGTTTCTCCTTCTTCGCCTGGCGGCACAAATTCGAAACCAGACTGTCCTGCTGCAGTTCTGCCAAACTGTTCCTTCCGTGAAATGCATTGAATTTCTACATGCCATTTTGGCCTGCAACACGCGCGAAAATCAAGTTTCCAGCGGACTTCGCTGCTCTGCCTAAATTCAAGGGGGTTCGAAGCATGCGAAGCATCTGAAGCATCTGAAGCATCTGAACACCAAATTTCCTCCTGTGCCTCAAAACCTCAAATCCATCGGTGCTATGGTGCACTGCCTCACCAAGGGTCGTGGAAGGTCTGACGCTGAAGCCAGAAGGCCATGACGCCCGTCCTGCCAATAAATATTGTGTTTCTTGGTGGTAGAGCAACTCCAGCTCCCAACACCGGATCTCGGCGCCAACAGAGAGAAAGTACGTTTTTGAGCCTTTTTCGAAGGAATAGTTTTAAAAATTGGGAAAGAAAAGCAAGGCACCAAACTACGAGAACCCCAAGCAGCAGAATTGGCACAGCAATATGGCACGGAGAAACCAAACACCAAAGCACCGATGCAGCACCGGCGCGTAGACTCTGTCCGAACGCCGCCGTGACACAGCCACGTCAATACCACGTCAATAAGATGGTTCAAGCAGTTGCAAAACGCGATAGCACCAGTGCCTCACACAGCCACAGCACTGAGCGTCATTGACGCAGCCACTCCCATGTGATCTGCAAGCGGCAAGTTTCAAACCAATAAAGAAAAGCGTGTACAAGGAAAAAAACGCCAAACCATTGAAACCTCAGATCCTTTGCGCGGTAATTAGATCCGAGAATTTCTGAGAATGGTCCGAGACCCTTTCGAAGCCGTTGCACGGCAGACCTTACCTATCCATCTTCTGACGCACGTTGTGCATTGCAAAACACACAATTTTGATCAATTTTGTGCATTGTTATCTTTCAAAAACGTATTTTGTGCAAAACTCTGTTGCGAGATGTTGCGAGAGCGAGTTGATGGTGAGTTGTGAAAGTGAATATGGTGAAATCTGAGACATTCAGTTGTGAAGCAGTTTGTTGTGAAAGTGAGTTGTGAGATGAGTTGTGGTGATTGTGAATGTCTGCAACATGGAAGATTCTCTCGCATACATCTTTACACATGTGCTCCTAATTATATTTTTTTGAAAGCATTGATGGACAATTCATATCTTGAACATAGACAAGGTTAGCAAGACATCCCGAAATATGGCGAAAACAAGCACGAAAGAAAGCCCTGGCTCGGAAAAGCAGGAGACCGGAACCTAAACAGATACAGTAGCGACATACAACCCAAAATCCATCTAAACTGTGAGTCATATTTTGGAACATATTGCATAAATTGGTGCCTGTTTAAAATGCGCATTTTTTAAATGCTACTTATCTTTCAAACAATGCCACACTTTTTGCAAAGGGTTGTTACATTGAGGAATGGTATTTCTTTATGCTAGTATTCTTTATGCAAAATCAGTTTACAAGTGCAGTTTGCAAATTTATTTTTCCTTCATTGTTTATAGAGAACATATTGCATAAATTGGTCCCTGTTTAGAATGCACATGCCCAAAAAGACTATTGCATATGTTGAGGGAAACTCCTGTAGAGATGTAGAGTCTATACATTCTTAAAGCAACGCTGCACTCTTTGGAAAGGCATTTGCACTTGTTTGTTTTGCTGTTTTTATTTATTATTCATGTTTGTTTTGGCTGAAACTATGTATCTATGTGGGACATCGGGAGAGCTGTTGAGAATGCACAGAAGCAACAATGTTTGGCTTTGGAAAGAACAGGGTTTGGTATCAAAACTTATGAAACAGCGCACTCCCACAGCCTGCCGCTCTCTAAAGAAAAGCGTGTACAAGGAAAAAAACACCAAACCATTGAAACCTCAGATCCTTTGCGCGGTAATTAGATCCGAGAATTTCTGAGAATGGTCCGAGACCCTTTCGAAGCCGTTGCACGGCAGACCTTACCTATCCATCTTCTGACGCACGTTGTGCATTGCAAAACACACAATTTTGATCAATTTTGTGCATTGTTATCTTTCAAAAACGTATTTTGTGCAAAACTCTGTTGCGAGATGTTGCGAGAGCGAGTTGATGGTGAGTTGTGAAAGTGAATATGGTGAAATCTGAGACATTCAGTTGTGAAGCAGTTTGTTGTGAAAGTGAGTTGTGAGATGAGTTGTGGTGATTGTGAATGTCTGCAACATGGAAGATTCTCTCGCATACATCTTTACACATGTGCTCCTAATTATATTTTTTTGAAAGCATTGATGGACAATTCATATCTTGAACATAGACAAGGTTAGCAAGACATCCCGAAATATGGCGAAAACAAGCACGAAAGAAAGCCCTGGCTCGGAAAAGCAGGAGACCGGAACCTAAACAGATACAGTAGCGACATACAACCCAAAATCCATCTAAATTGTGAGTCATGGGCCATGGGCCAAACAATAGAGAGTCACTTGGCCCGAGACTTTCCCTTAGGACAGCGCTTGCAGAGCTTGGGAAAGGATTGGCAGCCATGAAAGCCACCGCTGAATGACAAGCCATGCAATGTGGTGCCAAAGTCTGGTGTTGGGACATCCCATCGCTAAATTTGGATGTACAAAGAAACTCATCCTACTGATCAAGCCCCGGATGACCGGCGATCAAACCTCCAGCCGCAAACCTGCTGGCTTTCCGACTTGAATATAGAAAACATTAGAAAACAACGGGCAGGACCAGAAAGCACGCCTTAGTCGACCACGACGGGACGACAGGACGACAGGACGACAAGACGACAAGAACAAAGGATTAGAAGGACATGCATGACATGCAAATGGACACGCGCAAGCTCACACAAGCAAGTGGCTAGGGTAAACCTGGAAAACCCTTGGCTGCATCCCAAGCACACAAGAGAGGGTGTGCAAGTGCCTTTCCTATCTGCCAACAACGTAACAACAACGTAACAACTTCAACGTAACAACTTCAACGAACAGCACGATCACCACAGGGTCTTTACGGACAGAACGGTCTCCTCTGCATCCTCCAGCTCAGACCTGAACTCACGATAAGTCACGGTCACAAACGAAAGCGGCAGACTCTCAGAATCTCTCAGAACATACAGCGCCCAAGGGCCCAACAAAGCAGAGCAAAAGGAATCTGAAGAAGGCGACCGCCGTATCTGCGCACACAAGGCAGGTTAGGCAAACAGTTTTTGATGGTGCTATTTTTTGCAAAAAAACGAATATACAAAGCTGCACTGGTAAGATTTGTAAGTAGGTCGCCATTGGGTTCTCGCAGTCCACTGACTCCAGAGACAAAGCGCTCGTCTCCTGCAAAACAAACTCAGTCAACCTCGGCACAAATACTAATTTAATCAGTCGCATCATCACTCCTACGGGACAAATAGAACATGTGGAAAATGTGGAAACTCACGAAGAAAATGGTTCCTGCCAATCTGAGGCAAAAAAAATGTACAGCAAAGTGAACACACGGCTCTTCGAAGCAACACTTCCGGCCTCTCCCATGGTGTAGCTGGACCACAGTGATGTTGGCATCACACGGACATCCATCACATAAACCTGTTGCATTTGACGCACTTTGATGCACTAGGCCCCTCCTGAAAAAAAAAACTATTTGCCTATGCTGAAACCGAAAGGAAATCGATTCATGTCCAGCGTCCCTTTTTCAATGGCACATGCCTTCTGGGACTGGTGATGATCAGCTTCGGTGTCGCCGAGGGTCTCGTAGATCACCTTCGACAATGAACCAAACAAAACCTAGAACATACATGTCGCAGAATTCTCCTTCATTTCTGCTGTGAAATGATGGGATTGATACATATTGATACAAAGTCCTCAGGTCAATAACTCAGGCCGCGTCTGTGTCTGCTCGTCTCTGCGTGGGTGTGTGTGTGTGTTTGTGTTTGTGTGTATCAGCAGTGTGTGCCATTGCAAGAATCGGACCACACCAACTCACAAATCAACAGTCAAAAGGGAGTTGCTGATTTTTGCCTAAACGGCCAAGACCTCTAAAGTATTTTGGCGCCAAGTCACAGCATGGACGGGTTGCTTTCCAACGAAAGGTTCCAGAGACAAATTGCGGCCCCACCTCGGCGTCGATGCTCGGAGTTGGACCGTTGAAAGGCGAAAGTACAATAGCCAGATACGGAAACTTACCAACATGGTTTCGTTTTTTGCCATTGTGAGAATTGTGAGTTGTAAATGGACATCGGAAAAATTGGACCATGCCCAAGAAGCCAATCCTGGATTTTGTTAAATATAAACATATAAGAAGAATTAACAAGATATTATATCCGGCACGGTCATAAAGCCCATGTCCTTGACCCAAATCACATTCGTCATGCAAAATTCCAAAGATTGCAAACAGCAATGGGGCAATGGGCACTTAGATGCCGGCATCAGTGGAAGTTTGCGCAGGCTCCAAGCTCGCAAGTCCAGTAATTGCGCCGGCCTTGGGAAGATTTCAATGCAAAGGCGGGCACAAGCACGCAATGCGATCAAATCTTCGCGCACATAAATACGCACAATAGACAAGAAAAACGCGTGAATTCAGGCTTGAAAACGCTCTCGGTCGCGAAACCCTGCCTTTTTTACGGGTAAAGTGGCTGCCGCGGTCGCTGAAGGAGGGTCTCTGTTTCCGCGGTTTCGCGGCTCGATCGGGGAAAGTGGCCCACAAAAAGTGCGCAGGACTGTCGCGAGAGCTCGATTTCATATAAAAATCGTTTAAAAAAATGGCACGGTCGGAGCATTCTTGGAAGATGAGGTCGGCAAAAGGTGCGCAATATTGTAGCAAGAGCTCGATTTGATCACCTCAATCATCATGGCAACCACATCATCATGCAAGAAGATGGGAAGTGTGAGAGATCGGGAGCGCGTGAATGCAGGCTTGAAAACGCTCTCGGGCGCGAAACCTTGCCTTTTTTTCGGGTAAAGTGGCTGCCGCGGTCGCCGAAGGAGGGTCTCTGTTTCCGCGGTTTCGCAGCTCGATCGGGGAAAGTGGTCGACAAAAAGTGCGCATGACTCTTTAGCGAGAGCTCGATTTCACATAAAATTGTTTAAAGAAAACTATCGGTCTCGGAGCACTTTTGGAAGATGAGGTTGGCAAAAGGTGCGCGAGACTGTAGCGAGAGCTCGATTTGTTATGTCAACAACATTATGCTTCAAGTAGTTGAATATACATGAAATCATGAAACCGTCAAAAACTGTCGGTCGCGGAGCACTTTTTGGAAGATGAGCTTGGCAAAAGGCGCACGAGACTGTAGCAAGAGCTCGATTTCACACATATTCAAAATCGTAAGACACACTGTCAGTCTCGAAGGACTTTTGGAAGATGAGATCGGCAAAAACCACCATGGCAACCACCTCATAATCTCAATCATCATGGAAACCACAACAATATGAAGTAGTTCGGAAGTGTGAGAGATCGGGAGCGCGTCTTAATGCAGGCTTGAAACGCCCTCGGGCACAAAAGCCTGTGTTTTTTCGGGTGAAGTGGCTGCCGCGGTCGCCGAAGGAGGGTCTCTGTTTCCGCGGTTTCGCGGCTCGATCGGGGAAAGTGGTCGACAAAAAGTGCACATGACTCTTTAGCGAGAGCTCGATTTCACATAAAATTGTTTTTTAAAAAAAACTATCGGTCTCGGAGCACTTTTGGAAGATGAGGTTGGCAAAAGGTGTGCGAGACTGTAGCGAGAGCTCGATTTGTTATGTCAACAACATTATCACCAAGTAGTTGAATACATGAAATCATGAAACCGTCAAAAACTGTCGGTCGCGGAGCACTTTTGGAAGATGAGCTCGGCAAAAGGCGCACGAGACTGTAGCAAGAGCTCGATTTCACACATATTCAAAATCGTAAGACACACTGTCAGTCTCGAAGGACTTTTGGAAGCTGAGGTCGGCAAAAACCACCATGGCAACCACCTCATCATCTCAATCATCATGGCAACCACAACAACATGAAGTAGTTCGGAAGTGTGAGAGATCGGGAGCGCGTCTTAATGCAGGCTTGAAACGCCCTCGGGCACAAAAGCCTGTGTTTTCTCGGGTAAAGTGGCTGCCGCGCTCGTCGAAGGAGGGTCTCTGTTTTCCGTTGTCGACAAAAAGTGCGCAGGACTGTAGCGAGAACTCGATTTCATATAAAAATGGTTTTTAAAAAAAAACTGTCGGTCGCGGAGCACTTTTGGAAGATGAGGTCGACAAAAGGCGCACGAGACTTTAGCGAGAGCTCGGTTTCACATAAAGATCGTAAAAAACTGTCGGTCTCGAACACTTTTGGAAGATAAGGTCGCCAAAATGCGCCGAAGACTGTAGCAAGAGGTCAATTTCATGTGCCAACCACATCATCATCATCATCATCATCATAATCATCATCATCATCAAGTAGTTGATCACATAAAATCGTAAAACACTGAGGGGCACGGAACACTTTTGGAAGATGAGGTCGACAAAATGTGCAAGAGACTAGAGTCTAGATTTTAAATTTTTACACTCTTCCCTCTACACTCCACACGCTACACTCAACACGCTAGGACTTGCCACTCCTCTATCCCCCCCCACTGCACCCTCCCCACTTTACAGGACACTCCACACTCTACACTCCACATTCCGCACTCTACACTCTACACTTTGCACTCAACAACCTACAGTACAATGCAGGATAACAGGGGAAGAACATACAAGACTGTTGTACCATGTTGTCTTACTCGGTGTCTTAGGTGATGTGCATTCGGGCTCGTGGGTTCTATCATGTTCTTTGTCGTTCATTGCTTCATTTATCTTATTCACTGGTATTTCAATGTATTTCATACTTCTTAAAATTCTTAGTCTTCTATGCGGGATCTGTGGGATTTTTCCAGGCAGCTCCTCTCAGGCCCCGACCCCCAAATGGCAAACGTGAAAATTGGTAGAGAAGCCTTGTGTCCGACAGACAATGCAGAAATGTATGCCATGACTATGACTTTACCAGAACCCGATTTAATGGGTTCATATAGGTTTTGCATCAGGTCCCACGTGCGCTCTGTATGTGTAAAATTGCATGCACAAGGAGCTTTGACGAAGTCTTCTCATGTGTAGGACTTCTCATGAGAGGATTCTAGGCTGGCAGCATCAAAAGTTGGCCCACCACCATTCCACACATCCTGGCTTCACAGTTGCAGTACGCACTTCTCCAAGCTTGAAGGCCAGACGGCCGAAATCTTGCTGCAAGCAGATCAAGAAAGGAGCTATAACAAGTGTCTTCTTCAAATTAAAACTTTGCACGACGATAAACTTTGCACAAAGACAAGCATGACAAGCACCACTACAACAGGAAGCAAATGAAAAGAAACAGAAGACCCAGAAGGCTAAAACAAAAGAATCAGTGCAGGATTCCCGGATGGGGATCAAACTTGAGGCCCAAGGGAAGGGGGCAGTATATGTGGCGCGCCTGTTGGGGCTTGGACAACTGTAGGGAAAAGGGGCTAAAAAGGTCGCGCTAAATGAAGTAGGTGTCCAGGAAAGTGCAGAGGGGCCAAAATTGTATAGATACACAATAGATGTGCAGTCTGGAAGCTGCACGACCACCACTCCCATTACTCCTAATTCACACCACCCACGGTGAATATGATCTTCTATATGTTGGGCGTGGACATGCGAACGGCTGGTCTCGGATGAAAACCGGGGGAATGGACGAGGGGGAAGGGATCGAAGTGATACACCATGGCAAGATAGATCATGGAGGCTGCATCCAGTCTACCTCCAATTCATTGCTAAATCGAACTCCATGTGACTAGAGATGACTGACATGACCAGAGAAAGCAAGGACCACAGTGCCTGTGTATATTAACAATACAGTACACTCTTTAACTTCAACTCAAGCAAGTGACTGGATTGCAAATAATGCAGAGAGAGAGAGAGAGAGGAGAGAGACAGAGAGACAGAGAGGCAGAGAGGCAGAGAGACAGAGAGACAGAGACGAGATCAGAGTCAAGTAAAGCAATTTCAAGCTGAAGGCACAAGATGGAGATGTGCGTTTAAAGACTCCCTTCTTCTGGCACAATCAATCCATGCTGAGGAAACATCCCAGAAGTGCCGGGCTGCCTGAGCGGTGCTAAACGCAAGTGAAAACCGCCAAACTTCGTATCCATGACAATTCAAACAAAGGAAAGCGAATGAAAGTTGATTCAAGAAACCAGCGAGACCAGCGAAACCAGCTAAACCATCGTTGCTACAGTTCATCACAGTGGCAGTAGACTTTGCCTTCTAGAGATTCTCTCAAATGTTCCTGCCTTACGGCTATAGCCTGCTGGCAAGCTGATGTCGGCAATGTTGGGAGCGGCACTGGGGTCCTACGCGTTGAACATCGCCGAACACTTTAGCAAGGCACCTAAAGCATTTGGAAATATTTGGAAACACATGGAACGCCAATTGGAACGCCAATCTATAGAACGCCAATTGGAACGCCAATTCAATGCAATGATTTCGGGATTCCAACTCATGTTCTATTCTGCCGTCCTCGTGGATCAAAGTGTTGTCAGCAGCCCAAATAGGAGCTACAACCGTCGGCCTGGCATCACTCCAGGAATAGCAGAAAGGAATAGAAAAGGTATGTTCATTGGAAATCCGAATGTGTTTGCAAATGCTTTTCTCACTTGATATTTTGGTTTGTTTATCTTCCTTTGTGTTTTAACCATGTTTGACCATTTTTGACCTACATATTTTTTCAGTTTACTTTGGTTGCGAGCCGATTCTGGCCGCGCATGAGACTTTAGAAGACCAACATTCGAACGCATCCGCGTGAGCCTTGGCCCTTAGTAATCTTAGTACTGGTGTCGGACAAAATGCAATGCAAAACCATGCAAGCCATGCAAGCCACGCAAAGCTTCTGAATTGAGAGAAAATCTAGAGTCTGCCAGAGTCTGTACAATCTGTATAAGTCTGCATGTACTTGATTGCTGCCTAGGTCACAAGTTCTTGCTTCCATCACTACAAATAGGCGTATTCAGTACGGAATCAACACCTACAGTAGCAAACTGGTATTTTTCCACATGTTTTGACAACCTACGTAAATGGAAATTGTCAATGCAAGAAAGTGTTTTGGAGTTATACTTATTTTGTCGTTAGTATTTTTCTTGTCGGCAGTGAAAGCCTCTATCGTGTTTTGGGATTTATTTGAACATTGCAAG